TTCTGGCAAAAAGGCGACTTCCTCCGGACATTCTTTTCTATTACCATTTTTATGTCCCTCTGTTTGTGACAAATACCTTGCATAAGGACTATGAAGAATCTTCCATAAATTAATAAAAATCAGTTCTAGTGGAAAAAAGGGAAAATTGGAAAATTGGGACACTTTGAACTTTTATTTGTCCATATAAGACTTCTCATACTTTTGGCAATTCTGGACATGTTTTACCCTTTATTAATGAAAAAAATAGTAAATTAATTTTGAAAAATAGAAAAAATATGAGAAGACTAGAAAACATAAGTATGATAACATATATGTTTAAGTTTTTATTTTTTAAAAGTGGAATCATATTTTATTTTATCTTCTAGCTACAGATAGAATATTCGTTCTGGTTATCTACTTAGTTTAGAAATCATATACTGGGTGTTCTTGTTAAATAGACCCGAGGTATGAAACGTAATATAACATTTCTTGTCTATTCTAACCAAGGTAGTATTGGTAATGTTATAATCAAGGCATATGTCTTTGGTGTACGTGAAGCTAGATACCGATTTATAACCATAACTTATTGATATACCTCAGATTTTGTGCCATAACCAATTCAACATGTTACCTTATGTGACGCTTGAGAAAGAATACGTTTCCCACCTTTTCTACTGTGTTCTGCCTTAGGTAGTATACATATTCTAGGTAATCCGCAAAATATGGAAACTTCCATATTCGATTGAAGATGTTTCCTAAATATCTTAGAGAATATTTTGTCCATGATTTTCTCTCTTCCTCACGGGATCGATCGATCCCAGAAAGAGTCGGTCGATCCCGACGGTCAATCTCGATGATTAAACAAAAACATAAAAAAGCACGGAGCAGAAACTGATCGACCTTGTCTAGTTCAGTCGATCTTCACCGATCAATCTATCATAGATCGATCGATCTCTATTTTAGATCGATCGATCCCGATCCCAGATAATAGAACCGAACCGAAAATAATCAAATATTTCTCTTTGAATCAGTTTTGATACTCGGGTAGGGCTGGGCAAATAAACCGAACCCGAAAATCCGAACCGAACCCGATCCGATAAAAATGAATCCGAACCGATCCGAACCCGATTTAAACACCGAATGGATCTTGTTTTTTGGTATTTCGGATTATGGGTATTATCCGAACCCAAACCGAAATTAAATGGATATCCGATAGAACCCGAAACATTCAAAATTTAAGAATGTGTACCAAACATGATCTTAATTCCTAATATATATCAAAATATTTTAAGATATTACTAAACATCTAAAATAATTATCTATTACATGAAGGTTGATGGTTGAAGATGGCGGTTGAAACATGATGGTTGAAGATGGCGGTAGATTAAATTTTTGTTATTACTGAATAATGTTTCTCATTCTTTAAGAACTTGGTTTTCGTTTTATGGTTTCATTTATTTGGTTTTCTTTTTATCAATAACTATGTTTACCTTTCATTTGATTTTGAATTATCAAATTTGATGTTCCTTTCTTATTTTTGAATCAATTTTACTTATGTTTTGGTTATAAAATAGTTACACATTAGTTACTTTAAATCTGAAGAACCAATTTTACTTATGTTTTGGTTACAAAGTAGGTACAAATCAAGTATTTAAAACCAAAGAACTGATTGGGACCCGAATCCGAAAGTATAACGGGTTGTACCGGTTCTTTAAAGATTTACTAACCCCGACCCGAACCCGATAGACTCCGAACCGATCCCGAACCAAACTTTCAAATAATCCGAATGGGGCTGATTTTGATAAACCCGAAGAACCGAGACCCGATTGGACAAAACCGGAACCCGAATGGGACCCCGAATGCCCATGCCTATACTCGGGTGTGTTGAATCATGAGTCACCTTGATACATAATGTGTTTTTTGTGTACGAGTATGTGTTAAATTTTCACATAATTATGTCAGAGAGAAGGTGGAATCGCCATGGGAGAGAGCTCGGCGGAGAAGATGATGTAAAACAAAATTAGGGTTATCGATTTCTCCTTTGTACTTTGTGTCCCGATTCTTGTTTTTTTTTGTTTTTTTTAATTTGTTTTATTTATAATTTAAATTTCTAATTCCCCTTAATTGATTAATTGAAAGGGTATTATGGTATTAACAGATTTGAAAATCTTATTTTTCCAAAAAATCTTTAAAAGTCTTATACTGACAAACTAGGTGTTTTGCCCGCACTTGCGGGCATAATTCTCTTATAAATATTTATTAGTTGGTGTTTCTTTAATTTAAAAATCAGCATAATGAGTTATTATTTATATTTTCATAAAGTGAAAATCAAACATCAAATAATCATCAATGACAAAACTCAAACATCAGAAATACTTACAAGAATATATATTTCTATAACTATTTTTCTTGATTTAAATTTAGTTATAATATTTATATCTTAATTTTATATTTTATAATAGGAAAACATATTTTCAAGATAACAATATAATGCACAAGAAATTTATTTTCTAAAAATATAATATATTAATGATTTAATTATATAATAATTATATGAGATTATAGGAATTATGACATGCAATTAAAACTATCTAAAATCATGGAGAACTTATTGAATCAGCAAATTCACTTCTTAAATAATCTTTCTTGAGTGATGATCTATATTTAAGTAATAATAGATAACTTTTCTATTTTACTTTTAAATTATATAATATTAATATATATTTTCAAGATAACAACATAATACATAAGAATTATCTTATTTTCTAAAATTATAATATTATTAATGTAAATTTATTCAACTATAGAATAACTATAATTTTTATATCTTAATTTTAAATTTCTAATAGAATAATATATTTTCAAGACATCAACTTAATACATAAAAAGTATATTATTTTCTAAAAAGATGATACTATTAATATAAAATTTGTTTTAAATATCTAATAAATTATATAAAATATAAATTATGATAAATTATCAAAATTACCTAAAATCCGTAAACATCAAATTCACTTCTTAAATAATATTTAGAATTTTTACATGTTAATTTTAAAATTTATAATAGAAAAATATTTTTTTCAAGGTAACAGCATAATTCATAAGAATTAACTTATTTTCTAAAATGTCATATTCTTAATATAAATTATTTTTAATTATATAATCAATAATAAACAAAATTATAGAAATTCTGATAAATGATCAAAATCACCTAAGATTATGGAAACAAATCAACAAATTCATTTTTCAAATAATTGTTTTGATAATTTATATTTAATTATGATTTATATTTAGTTATTAATAATATAATTTTATATCTTAATTTTAAGTTTTATAATAGGAAAATATATTTTTAACATAACAACATAATCCATAACAATTATCTTATTTTAGAAAATATTAAATTATTATAAATTCGTTTTAGTTATATTGAAATTAAATTATTAATAGAAATTTGTTTTAGATAAATATAATAGTTTTTATATCTTCATTTAAATTTGAAGTTTTATATAAAAAATATATTTTAAGATAACAACATAATTCACAAGAATTATCTTATTTACTAAAAATATGATATATTTATATAAATTCGTTTTATTTATAAATAAAATATATATAAATATTAAAATATGATAAATCTCTATAATATTATTTGAGAAGTCAGTTTCCTACGTGTCGCACTCACGTTAACTCTCGCGATGGTTGATTACATAGATACCCTTAATGAATTATTATATTTTAAGATTATTATTAATCTTTTTATTTAGTTTCCTTTTTACCTTTTTCCAAATAACATATAATAAAAAGGAAATATTTCTAATTTTTTTTTAAAAAATTAAAAACGAAAATATATGTATATAATATGACTTTATTAAAAAGGAAAGTTGACAAAATAGTAATACCCCCATTAATATATATTTTTAAATAACATAAAATATATTTTCAAAATAATAAAAATATATATGTTCATGACCATTCAAAAATTTATCAGTTACATTATTTTCTAATATTTTTAAGAAATCATCATATAATTTGATAAATATTATGAAAATACATGTATATTTAAGCGATAAATAAAAATAATTTGACTTAAATTAACTAAAATAAAGAGTAAGTAAATATTATGAAAATACATGTATATTTAAGCGATAAATAAAAATAATTTGATTTGACTTAACTCAAATAAAAAGTAATGATACTTCAATTTTAATTTAAAAATATATTTAACTCAATATGCTCACAAAATGAATGACTTGACTAATCTAATTTATATCCAAAATTAAACATCTAACTACAATAAGAACATATAATTTTAAATAATAATAATAATAATCTATTTAATTTTATACATATAAATTAGAGGTTGACTCAAAGTATATTAAAAAGAAAAAGAAAATATTAACCAATTACAGTTTAATTATTTTGTAGAATTTATATATATGCATTAGACTTCAAAATATTATCATTATATTCCTTTATGTAATTTTGAATCAAACACTTCAGTTTATTTTTTATTTCATTTTAAGCAATATATATTAAGTTACACATAACTTAACTATAATATATTTACATATCTAAGACAATAACCAACCGAAATGAAAATAAGAAAATTAATCAAAGTTTTATTATATTTAGAATAAAAAATAGTATAGCTGAATTCGAAAAATAGATATTATCCCATATACCAAATTGATAACCAAACCGACTATTGATCCAAAAAATAATTAAACCAACAGTGATATATCTAAAGTCATATGTATAATTAGAATAATATAATATTTATTAATATAAATTATACATATAAATTTATTCAAAATTAAAACTAAAACTAAAACTAAATAGCAATTAATTATTATAAAACTTTACTTTTATGAATATTCATACCCGTGCATGAGTACGGGAAAATCACCTAGTAAACAAATATATCTAAAGTTATGGAGAACTAAGCAAAATTACTTTTTAGATAATAGTATAGATACAAGTCGAGAGTGTCATTATTTTTCAATTTTCCCAAAAAAAAAGGAAAATAAAATAGAAAGCGTTTAGAAAGAAAAGAAGAACAAAAAACTGTGAGAAGAGAAGCACGGCACGGGAAAGGAACGTGAGCGGAGGCAATGGAGGACGGCGAGATCGAGGAAGGAATGGTAACGGCCGACGAATACCCAACGTCGGAAGTCGCGACGGAGTCTATAGAACCGCCTAGAGAACCGGTGAAATCTCCACTGGAGTTGCTCCGAGAGAGCAAAACCTCAGTAGAAGAAATCGTAGCGAAGATGCTATCAATCAAACAAGAAGGAAACAACAACAACAAATCCGATATTCGAGAACTCCTCACTCTCATGTTCCTCAACTTCGTCAATCTCCGTCAGGTTAGCCTTCCTTCTCTCCCCCCCAATACTCTTGTCCTCATCTCCGTGTCACGAAACTTAGGGTTTCCTCGTTCTCTAATTCAAAGAGATCTTAAGTAATATATAAATGTTATCAATCCACTTATCATCAATTGGTTTTAAGTTAGAAGCTCATACTAAAACCGAATCTAACTTCTTCTGTAGGCGAATCGGGCGATTCTGACGGAGGAAGACAAAGTGAAGGCAGAGACGGAACGAGCAAAAGGACCAGTGGATTTCACGACGCTTCAATTGCACAATCTTATGTACGAGAAGAGCCATTACGTTAAAGCTATTAAGGCTTGCAGAGACTTCAAATCCAAGTATCCAGACATTGATCTCGTATCAGAAGAAGCTTTCTTTCATGACGCTCCTGAAGTTATTAAAGATCAATTGTTACCAACTGATAGTTCTCGTGTTTTAATGCCCAAAAGACTCAGTTTTGAGCTTCATCAGGTTGGTTTCAAGTGAACGTGTTTTTATGGAATTAATGATTGAATGTTTAATGTGTTTTGATAGCCAAAAGGCTCAGTTTTGAGCTTCATCAGGTTGGTTCAAGTGAATTTTTTTTTTTTTAGGTGGAACTAATGATTGAATGTTTATGTGTTTTTTTTTTTTTTAATTTAAGAGGAAAGAATTGTGTAAGCATCGAGCGAGATTGGAGCAAAAGAAGAAGAGTTTACTAGAAACAATTGCGGAGCGTAAGAAGTTTCTGTCAAGTCTTCCTATACACCTCAAGACTCTGAAGAAAGCATCTCTTCCAGTACAGAACCAGTTGGGTATACAGCACACTAAGAAACTGAAGCAGCATAGTTTAGCTGAGCTGCTTCCTCCTCCGCTTTATGTTATTTACTCACAGCTTTTGGCTCAAAAGGAAGCTTTTCAAGAGAGGATCGATTTGGAGCTAGTTGGGAGCCTTAAGGATGCTCAAGCTTATGCCAGACAGCAATCCAAAAAGGACTCTGGTAAGTTGTTGTAAGAAGATTTACTGAACCGAGAGGAAAGCTAATTTGGTGTTTTTTTTAATATCTTTTAGGTGGGTCGAGTAATACAGAGAGTTCTAGGTTGGAGGATGATGGACCTGATGATGATGATGATGGACAAAGAAGAAGAAAGAGGCCTAAGAAGGTTACTAGCAAAGAAGGATCTGACAAGGCAGGATTATACCAAGTTCACCCTCTCAAAGTTTTCCTTCACGTATATGATGATGAGACTCCTGATAACAAGTCCCTTAAGCTTGTTGTTCTCAAGTTTGAGTACTTTCTGAAGCTGAATGTTGTATGTGTTGGCGCTGAAGGCTCTCCAGATGGACCGGAGAAAAATATATTCTGTAACTTATTCCCAGATGACGCTGGACATGAGCCACCTCACCAGGTAAACTTTTTTTTAATGTTTCAGTTTTCTTACATGTGAGTTTTGACGACTTTATTTTATCAAAGTCCATACTCACTTGTCTTGGTATGGCATGCAGTCGACCAAGCTCATTCTTGGTGATGGTCAAGCGTTTGATGAGAACAGAATTTCAAGGCCTTATAAATGGGTTCAACATTTGGCGGGGATTGATATCTTACCGGAAGTGTCTCCGATTTTATTTGGCCAAGATACTTCTAACATTGACTTTGCTAAAAGTGATGCGTCTGTACCTGATCTCTCACTCTATCGCCAGCAGCATAGGGTGGAAACAATTCTGCAGAGAATACGCTTGCGGAAAAAAGCGCACCTGGCTCTTGCGTGAGTCCCCCAACTCTATATGTTTAATTTTTTTTGATTAAAAACACTATGGGAAAAATCTAGATACCAATGATCATCATAAGTGCAGCAGGCATATGCTTAGTGCATTTAATAGTTAGTTTTCTAGATAAGTTGGCTGTCAACCAGAATACCCTTTGTAGCAAGGTCAACTCGTACTAAGAGCTTTCATGAGTAACTATTTCTGCTGCTGATATGTTATTTTCACTGAATACCTTTAAACGTCTTACTGGCTTTACAGGGAGCAGCTTGATATGCTTATGAAGCACGATTTGCCTGCTGTGAACTGCGAAGAAGCTCCATGGGCATTGCATAAAGTTCTGTGTGCTTTGGATTCCTGGTTACAGATTCGATCTTCATCTAGTAAGTCGTGCTCTGTTACTCTGAACAGTGTAGAACAAGTTCCAGAACCTATGGAAATCGATGGGGATAGAAGATCTCTTTCTGGTAAGGAAGATGTTGAAAGTATTCGGGAAGACGGAGAACTTCCTTCTTTGGTCACAGCTGCGGCTTTGATAACCAGCTCTGATCAAACACCATCAAAAGTATCTAGTGTAGCAAGATCTAGGCAGTTGGCTTTGATGACAAAGAACCTGGATTCTCCAATTAGCAAAGGGAAGTCACCGAGTTTCAAAAAATACGAAGATGATTTGGATCTTGTTTTGGATGATGATAGTGAAGTAGATGAGCCAGCTGGAAAAACCGAAGCGAATGTGGAAGCCTTAGGCCCTGTGAAAGCTGATAATTCATGGGTAGAGTATGGTGCGAGAGAGTTTGCACTTGTGTTCTCCAGGAAAACAGATGATAAAAGGTTGTGGAAGTTAGAAGCAACGGTATATTCTAAAATCACATATCTTCCTTATATCTTTTTCTTCCTCAAGTGTTAAAATTGATTTGTACTGCAGGTCCAGATTAGCATGGAGTATCCTCTTAGACCTCCTTTCTTTTCTCTGTCTCTCCATACTTCTTCTGGAAATGACAACGGGACAAGTGAAAGTGATCATTACAATGAATTACGAGCTATGGAAGCAGAGGTAAGTGTTAGCCTAGTGACAGTATATACCAATTTCTACTCGATGACACCAACAGTAATATCCTTCTTAACCTTTTCTTGTTGGTATCAGGTGAACCTTCATATGTTGAAGATTGTACCTTCAGATCAAGAAAATTATCTCCTATCTCATCAAATCAGATGCTTGGCAATGTTGTTCGACTATTACATGGATGACCCATCTCTGGGTTCCAAAAGAGGAACAGCCACAAGTGTGGTTGATGTCGGTTTGTGCAAGCCTGTAGACGGTAAGCTTCTTGTGAGATCATTCAGAGGCAGAGATCACCGGAAAATGATCTCATGGAAGGATAGAGGATGTGCCTCGGGTTATCCATGTTAGAGATTACTCCGTCACTCATTTCTCTATATTATGTTTCCCTTTTGTTACATTCAAAGATTTTTTAAGATAACAATTTTTGCACTGCCCGGTTCCTCATTTTAATAACAGTTGGATCACAGAATCCTTATCATTACTTTGGGGAACATGAACAAGATATAGTGGTGTATGTTTTCAAGTCACTGACTGATGTGATCCGAATGTGGTAAACGTGAAGAGACTTTCACACTGGTTGTATGCATTGCTGTGTATTCAGCTGAAAGGTTTGCTGAGTTATCATATGGATTTAATGTGTTCGTCTCTTGACTTATTGGTGTATGAATACGTATAAGTTTGAGAAAGTCTTCGCTTAGGCTTCGGTGTTTAGAAATTAGAATTGTAGCATTTGACCATGAAATCAAATGTGAGTGTTAGTTGAAGAAGTAAAGCTATAAAAGATCAAGATGGAAAAATCTATTGGAACGTTATTCAACTCAAGTGTGCAACTAAGATTTCTCTCTGATGACAATGTAATCTACATGGTGTTATTCAACTCCAATCGTTAAGTCAAGCCAATTGACATATCTATTTCAAACGGATTTGATTCTTTTAGATTACTATAATATTCTTATAAAAATAAAGTAAACTCACTCATTACTATTTGGCTCTGCCAAGTAGTAATTATTTAAAAAAATAAAGTAGTAATTATTTTATTGGTCCCTAAACCATGACAATCATATAACTAAATGGTACATAAAAAAACAATATCACATCGAATAATAAATAGCAAATTTGTTCATCATCGATGAGCAGAAACATAATAGGTAGAACACACCACTTTATAATACTTTCCAACCCTATTTCCATTGATTCACTGGATGTCCGATTTCGTTCTCCTCAGCTGTTTCCTGGATCGGTTAGTCATCCCTTTTTCCTGTTACAAATTTGGATAACTGAACTTAGAACAAAGTTTTAAAGCTTAAAATTGCTAAAGAACAAAGGTATAAGAGTCTTTTATACTTTAATGAAAAGTGCATTTTTGAAAATACTCTTTTGTTGATGGTAAACATGAAAAGTGGTACTACCAAAGTGGTATAAGCGAAATTTCCCAATTTTCTTTAGTCTAATTATTACTTTTTATTAAAACAAAGCCCCAAGAAAACCCCCCACTTTTACATCCGTGAAGTAAGAAAATATTTACTGCAAAACAAATCTTGTTTGATAAACTACATAACAGAACATACACCCAAAAATGCCAAGCTGAATAAAAACTAAAGAGTGTAGAGTTAAACAGAATACCAGTTTGGCTTGCATCTCTGCCTGTCGAACATTAAAAAAATTGTCGTGAGGATGGGAAACAAATGTAGATGTTATCTTAGTAAAAGCATATACATAAATGCAAATGCTAAGACATCGTTACTTACCTGTTTTTTAAGTAGCTCAAAATTCTCTTTCCTTAACTTTGCAGCTTCAGCCTCAAGCGCATTAGTTTGAGCCTATAAAAGCAAAATGAGAAGTTTGATGTCTAAATATAATCAATCAAAATATGCGTATATAAGAAGATGTCAAACATTTTTCTTACCTGCTGTCGAGCTCGTGATCGTGCTGCTGCTTCACGGTTCTTTATCTTTCTCTTGTAGGTTTTCTCCACTAATTTCTTCTCTGCGGCAATGACATTATTCCTGTTCCTATCTCTCACGCTAGTCATTCCAGTAGTGGTGTATGCAATTGGTGACACTGATGAACCAGCATTAATCTTCGGTATGCCATCTAATATCGGAGATAGGGTAACGGGAGAACATGTGTCTACTACACTCATGGCTCCACCTGGAACTGGTGCAACACTTTGTACCAAAGTTACGTTATTTTCTTGGTGACTTTGATCTCCAGTTCCCTTGTAACTATCAGCATTAACCTGACCACTCGTAAATGCGACGTTTTTTTCATAACCATGTGGTTTCGATACGATAGGTCGTTGCGGTTGATATGTTGACATAGACCCATTCACATTTGGATGCAAATAAGAACCATGGATTCTATTACTTTTATTAATATTGCCCAACACATCAGAAACCATTGGTTTCTGCTGAAACTCTACACTCAAATTTGTGTTTGGAATACCCGAAATTGATGATGGGTCATGAATGTAGCCACAACTGTTATTGTTTCCCATGGCCACAGCACGGGTTATAAAATCTCCCAGAGTGATATTTCCTAGAGTTGGCTGCTTCTGAATCTGAGGAATGTTTGTTCTTCCTCCATCATTGTGGGCGTGTAGTTCTTCCTCTGTGATATATTTCCAAACTTCATCAACAGTTTTTTGGCTAAGTATTCTAGGCAGAGTTATTGACCCTTGCCTCTGTAATCCTTCGTTCGTACCGTTAGTTGGAACCACAACTTCTGTTTCTCCATCTTTGCATATACTCTTAAGAAACTCTTCTATGTTCATTGACCCACAATCTTTCTGTAAGTTGTTTTGAATCTGGTCTAGTGTCGATGTGTATAGCGATCCTTGTCGGCTCAAAGGAGTACTAACCGGTAGTCTGCTCATCGCTCCCGGAGGAGGACCAGTCCCCAAGGTTTTTAAATACCAATTACTATCCATTTTGGCAGAATCCAACTAAAAGATATCACCTGTTATATATCAGAATGTAGTGATGAATATAACTTTTTAGAGAAAAACTTCAATAAGAGAAAAGGTGTCTATGGCCTTACAAAACGATTTTACCTTGAAATGTAAGAGCTTTTGTGATCAGAGCACTGCAACCCCAGGAACTAACTCTATAGATCAGATTATATAATACAATAATCAAAAATAAGAGAGTCCAAAACCCATTGTAAGAATTTATGTAGAACATATTGATGCAACAAACAACAGAATCTTTTTCTTACAATATTCAATGAATCAAATGGTAACATGCAATTAATGAAAAATCTAGTCTTAGTATGCACATCAGCCAAATGAAGTAATAAATCTGGATATAAACTGAATATCTAAATTAAAATGACAATATAAGGAGACAAATCTTTTTGTTAACTTTTCTCACTTAATTTTCTGTTTATTAGTTAAAAAAAAATCTGTTTATTAGTTTTTAAAATTACTATAGCATGCATACGCATTATGCTCCTTATTATTCAATCAACACATTTTATAAAAGCATTTAGAAAAGACATTTACAAGATGCCAATGCTCTCCAATGAAGCTTTTTTTTGGTAGAGCATTTTCATATAAATATTTTAAAAAATAATTATATATTTTATTTAATAATATCAAAAAATTATGGTATATCCTTAAGTTAAATTTGTATTTTGAAAATAAAATTTTCAATTAGTATATTTTAACTTTTTAAAAATAATATCATTTCTCATTTAAAATATAATATAATTTGTATAATTAAATATGATGCATTATTTTTAATAAAAAGCATGAAATAATATATATTTATACATTATAAATATAATTATATCTATATTATTTCGAAATAAATAAATTAAATATCATATATTATTTGTTTATGATAATTTTATATATGAATTATTTATTTCCTTACCAATCACATTAGTAAATAGATAAACGAGAGCATACAACTTTTGCATCATATTGCTTTAACATACTTCTACTGCTCTATCATATGTCAAGATAAGAGAGATTTAGCTGAGTATATAATTTTGTATATTAATATTCAAAGTTGGAACTTGTTGAGAATTTTGTTCATATTTACTAATAAAATTTTACGTAGATCATATTAAAAAAAAAAGAAAATATGATTTAAGAATAAAAAGAAAATTTTCTCAGAATAATCTAATTAAATTAAATAATTTGGTCTCGGGTTTAATAAAATATTATGAACCACTGTAAAAATATCAATCATAAATCAGTTAAAATTTCATACTCTATTAATTTAGAGTCTTATTTGAACTTCATGTGTTATATTTCAGTTTTGGGCTACTAATATAGGGTTTGTTACATAATAAGGCTATTATATTATTTAAACTAGAGTTATTCTGAGAATTCATATCAGAATAGAACAACCAACAAAACTTATATCGCTATGCAAAGTACGAGCTATCCTAGCTAAACCACATGCTTCTCGTTTTTGCTCTCTTGGTATATGAGAAATCTTGAAATCGTCTCTTAAGTACTGTTACCCCCCCTAGCTCTATGGAAAAACTCGGCCATGCTTTCAACTCCAGTATCATTGATAAAATATATTTGTAGACTGTCTCAAAATACTAACAATTCGTGTGATTAAGCATACATTTCTCAAATTAGTGTCTCTAATTCTGAGTGCAAAGAAACATACAATTTTCTTTACTTCGCTACACGAAAAGTTATTTATTCCCAGATCCATCCATCCATACCCACCCATATCCACTAAACGGTGAATCAACCATCCATGATCCATTTACCAAATAAATGTTCTGCAAGCTTAGGACTTGTATATTCATTGTTTGGTCTAATGATGAGTTTCATACGATGTTTTTGAGTTTATGTTAAACCAAGCATGGCATTCACTTTATATATGTCGAATCAACTCAAGAGGATCACGTGTAATTCCTCATAATAGTTTATCATTGTGAGCTTTCCATAAGTATCAAAATGATTTAAGAATAGGAGTATTTATCCAATCCGGATCTTCAATTTTGTTTTTCTTCCAGAACAAATAATTCATATTGGTATATACGCTCATTGTTGGAAATTACTTGGACACGATGGTGTCAATGCGAATGTCCATGTTTGCAAGGCAATTGGACATTCAAAAAATGGTATGGTTGGCTGATTCGTCGGGTTCTCCATATACATAAAACAATGGTTATCACAGCACATATATCGCCGGGTTAAATCTCCTGTTACCCTACATATCGAGACAAAAGTTACCATATAAGATGGCAGATTTTGTGGAGCATTGATTTTCCAGGAAAAGGCCTTCAAGTTAGTTACACTCGGCTCCAAAACCATTTCCTCATTCTCTTGGTAAAGAATGTTTCTTGCATTCCAGTAGTCAGATTTAACTGATAGCTCCATCTATACATATAATCTATATTAGATTGGCTTATGGTCAGAATCCGAATGAGAGGTATGTCTTCTTAAACAATAAGATTTTCCAACATCTTAGCATCCCAGACTTTTGGAGAACAGTGAATTAGTTCACTCAAAACCATCCAAGGATCTACCATCAAGTGGATCACGCTAGCAAGCCTAGCAGAGATTGAGGGATCTAAGGGTCTTCTTATACATTTATTTGGTATCCTGAATGCACTTTTTAAATGATACATATACTCCCAGTAAATGTCTAGTTGTCATTAAACTTGTCCACACATAAGATGGAAATTTTGTCTCTATCGCTTGCAAAGACGAGCTTTGACAGTAATACTTCATTGTAAAACTCTTGCAAAGAGAGATAATCTCTACAGTTATTTTGCCAACAAGGCCATGATAAATTCATGAATCAGTTTTAAACCGATTTCTCCTTCATTTTTAGACTGCAAAGTTTTTCCCATTTTCCCTAATGCATTCGCCTAGTTCATCATTCTCTTATGTGGATTTGAGCTCCACTAGAACCATGCAATAGATTTTCACAAATCTCCAAAGGGAGAAGAAAGCTCGACATTACGTAGACAATGCTACTGCTATAGCTTTTATTAGGATTTATTTGCCATCTCGTGATAGCTAACGACCGGACCAACCATTGATTCAATGATTAAGCATATCCTTCATGAATGCATATAGTCTGCATTATGACCTACTTATATCCTCTAGAATTCTCAAATACGATCTCATTCCCCACCTGCATTATCAATAGCTAAAATTGTCTTGATTTCTTATTTTACGCTTATTGGTACCCTTTTACCAAAGAGGAGTGATGACTTCTCAAAGTTTATAGCTCGCTTGTGAGAAAGATAGTGTTTGCTGGTTCAATCCAAGCTCCAGTGAGCTACAATGATTTCTCTTGGTTTGGAGGAGTGCGGTGAACACTGGGCCAATAACTCTATGTGTTCTTGGTTCGTTGATCGATATTGAAGAGTTCATTGAGATCAATCAAGCCATTATTTCTCACACTTTTGATTTAGGAATAAACATGAAACATCAATGAAGGTTGAAGAGATACAACCTTGTGGATATGATACTCTGAAACTCTAATACATATGAGACAACTTCAAAATCAGTTAAGAATTAAATCATTTGATGATTAGAAAATTCCAAGCCTTTGTTTACGTAAGTTTGGATGATGGTGAGATGATGTTCGGTAGTTGATTATATCTCTCAGTATGTGGGGGGAGGGGAGTGATTTCCTTTCTTAATCAGATGATGAATAAAGGTAGCTTGAATCAAACGAACACTCCAAATTTACAAGTACAGTAGATTAGGAGTGTTTCTACATCAAGAATCTAAAACACAAGAACACTTTTGAAGAAAAAAATGATTTATTATCTCTACAACTTTTGGATTGAAAGCTAGTTTACAATGATATATAAACTGAACTTTTATAGGCTCATGGAAAATGGTAACAGCATAGCTAAAAATTAAAAAGAAATTGGATGAACTAAATGAAAACTTCGTTAGATTTAAATAGCATTTTTGGCCAGTAATAGGGAAGGAGATATTAGACCAAAGATATGGAAGGTGATAATTCTCTTGATTTTTTAGATTTTGTGTCAAAAGTCTAGTGTTTTAAAGAAGGTAGTCGTTGGGATTTGATTTCATTTGTCAGTAAAAAAGAGAAGTCTTGGTTCCATGTGATTCCATGTGGAAATGTTTATCTAGACTCTTATAGAATAGCTTATGGATAGTTTGTTATATCTCACGGCATTCATAAATTGGTCTGAGACATGCTTGTGTAAGGAAAAAATAGATTTTTCTTACGTGGACCAGTTAAATCAGATTTAGTAAAATAAGTGTATCTTGAGACCAGATGAGATTACAGACTTGATTTTTAATGTTCAGAACTTCTAAGAGGATCAAGTACATTACGCCAGTTACTTGTGGTTGGGCTAATATGGATTTGAATATGTAAGATATGGCATATCACGTATTGTGGAGATTCTTTGACTCAAACAATATATATATCCATGGTTTAAATAACTTTCAATGATTTCTGGTGAACTATAGAAACTATAAATTTTCAAATAAGATCATATTCTTCATTCGGTTTCAATAGTCAAAGTTGCTTTAATTTCGTGTTTCATACTTATTGATACTACTTTATCAAAGAAGAGTAATAATTTTTCAAAGTTTATAGCATATTTGTGAGTAAGATAGTGTTTACTGGTTTAATCCCAACTTTGATGAACTCTAAGTGTCATTTTTTTTTGTCAGCAACATAAACAGATTCTAAATAGACTCTGCAAACCAAATTGGTAACTCAACATCTATAAAACAACATAAGACGACTGTTTCCTGGCACTGCGTGCTAATTTGTCGGTCTTGGTATTGAGCGTTCTTGGGATATGGATGATCTCTGAATGAGGTAAACTTTCGCATAATAGTTCTATATCGTCTAAGTAAGTTGCAAAGGTTGGCCATTCCTCTGGTACAGAAACTATCTTTACCATTTGAGTGCAATCCGTAGCAAACATGACATGAAATTGATGGAAATTCCTCATATTTTTCATGGCCTAAATAAGAGCTTCTATCTCTGCATGCAGAGAGGAGATACTTTTCCTTGTATTCCTTACTCCCATTAGTTTCCTAAAACTCGGAAAGGCACTATACCAACCATGACCCGTGAACTTATCATGATCCTTCCAAGATCCATCTGTAAAGCATCACCAACAAGGGAATTGCGGTAAAGTGGTCTCCCCAGACTCTTGTGCAGGTTGACTACTTTGTGTCCTTGAATCCTGAATTTCTTTTCAAAATAGAGATTAAGTCATGGGCTAACTGTCATATATGTATGTTATTAATTTATAGTTTTAGTGAGATTATATATGCAAATAAAAAAAAATTGATTATCATTTTATCAGTTTGTATTATATTTTAAATTGTCTTTATTCGAAATGAATAGTTAATTTATAAAATTTCTACTGTACATTATAAAAAAGTATGATTTTACATTTTACAAATGTGAGATTGAGAGTACCGATAATTTTCTCTAAAAGGGTAATGGGCAATCTCAAAAAAGCTATTGTGAGAGAGAATGAGTTGGAACTGTAATCCCATTGGTTAGAGATGAGATGACTAAAAAGAAGAAGATTGATCGTCTTCAAAAACACATGGTTTACACAAAATAATAATTAAATATAAAAAAGGGAATAATAATAAATAAAGGCGGTGGGAAGATATTTTGCACTGGAAGAAAATATCTTTGATATTTTTGTATGTTTGAAAAAATATCTAAAGGAGGTTTCATTCCGCCAAATTGACCGGTGACGACGACGTGGCACCCTTACCACGTGTAAAAGCGTCTACAAGTGTACCGTTCTTTTGTCTTTCCGTCTCTCCTTTTCACCATCTCCTTTCATTTGATAATCTCTCTCTCTCCATTCTCAACAACAAGATAGATAGATAGCCAATGGTTGGTGATTACAGAGACAACTATAGCCGGAGCTCCGACCACTCCTCTTCTGCTGAGGAAGAAACCACTTCTTCAATGGTATATTTCATGTTTTTATCTTATTGCATGTCTCTGAATATTCTTTCTTTCTCGCTTTTCAGATCTGAATAATTGATATTTCCTGTTAAAAAACATGTTGCAGTATCCTACAGAATGGACCGATGAGAAGCATAGTTTGTATCTTAAATCAATGGAAGCTTCTTTCGTAGATCAGCTCTACAACTCCCTCGGTTCCATTTCCAACAAGGAGACTGTCGGATCATCATCGAAGAGGCTCGGTAATAATAGAAAACCTTCTGAAGAACAGGTATGAATTCAGACGGTGTCCCTCTGTTTCGTTTTTTTCGTAGCTGATAGATAATGTGTTTGATCATCGAATTTAAAATCTTTGGCTATATTTTGGTTTTGCTATTATTAGTTCAAGGTTCTTCGTGATGGTTTCTGGCAGAAGATGCATGTAAGAGAACCTGAGTATCGTTTTAAAGGAAGACAAGGTCGTCGTTCTCACGAGTTTCTTAGGAGTCCTTGGATCAACCACTATAAGCCATTACCAAAGACCCTAAGTGATGAAGGTAGTTCAGAGGTGGTTAGGTCGAAGGGTATCGTCATATGCAGCTCTCTTTCACGTGACCGGGATCAAATTAGCGTTGGAGAAGAAGGTCTTTACTTATTTCTCTCTTCAAATATTATTATTTTTTATTATTGTAGATTTGTATACTAAAGTGTTTCCTGTTTGACTTACAGAAGTATCTGACCAGAATTTTGTCAACGAAGTAACCAAAGGCGAAAAGGGAAGCTCCAAGAAGATGAAGACTGTGATGAGTGGATCGTCTAGCACTGATCAGGTTAATTTCTTCCACCAATTAGTTTTTGATCATAGAATGTGATCGAGTTTATTGTTCTAAAAGTATTTTTCTTGCACCTTGGCATATAGGTTGTTCCACTCAGGAAAACTCCTACAAACATGATAGACTTAAATTGAAGTCGGTTGCGAGGTGAGGTCATTGAAGCTGGTTACGCAAGGAGAATTTTGTTATGTTTATAGAATTTGGGTAACTAAAATTGAAAAAAAAAAAAAAACCTAATGATTAGTCGTTGCATGTGTCTTGATTATGTAACCCTAACTATAAATATTTTTATATGCGCATGTGAGTGGATTCATATGTAACGTGAACTTCTATTTGCATCAAGTTACTTAGTTTTTGATTGTTTATTGTTAGTGCCACTATTGTATAGTCTACAACTTTGAACTTCCATTAGTATATTTATCTTCCACATTTTGACAAGTTGACATTACCATCAAGATTCGACTTTGAAATGAGACCACAGATAAATAAATAATTCATATTTAGTCTTGACGCTGAACTAGAGCTGCAAGTTGCCACAGCTTATGCCTATGCTTCTTAAATTCAAAGAGGAATATCTTAAAGTGGAGGAATATGATGGTGGTATGTCTCATTTAGCATCCGTAACTTTATTAGCAATTGTCATGTAGATCTTTTTTTGTGTGCACCGTCATGTAGATCCTTCCATAAGAAATAAATATGTAAATGTGTGAGCCAATCTGCAACTTTAAACGAGATTTTGAGCTGCGCTATATTTTCTTTTATCATTTTGAGGAAATATGCATAAATCAATAATTTTTATTAGAAAACACATAATTTAAAATTAAATTTAAATATTATAAAATTTTAGTTTCAAATATCGTTTTTATATCTGACTCATATCCGTATATAACTCGTATATAACATATGTTAACATGTATAATTTGCTAACATTATTAACTTCCTAATTTATCAAAATTTATATATAATATACATACATGAGAAACAAAATGGTATAGTTTATCTATTTAGACTCGTCCTCTATTATTTTAAAATGAATTTAATGTATTAAAATTGGATATAATGATAATAACAATATTTTGCTGAGATAATTGTGTTCTGACAAATTTATAAAAAAATATTATTGATACTTTAAGTTAAAAGATCTTATAAACATTGATAAATTGTTTGTTACGATATATGTTTATAGACATACTTATAATATCAATTTTACATATTGAATATTCATTTAGATGCGGTTGACTATTTTATTCACAATTTTACATAAACAACAAAGAGTTGGAGAATAAAGATGCATATAGTAAATAATTGAGAAATTAAAAGTTCATTTTCTCATTTAATGATATGATTAAATTATATTGTTGAGAAAGAGAATGAAAGTCAATATAAGATGATAAGCATGTTCATAATATCTCATATGTATTTCATTTGAGAATCCTTTTTTCTCAATTATTCTTTTACATTTTTTTGAAATATTTTTGAGAACTTCCGATTCAAAATGTCTTAAGATACAGTTTTTATATAAAATTTTTAATATTGAAGGATTCAAAGACTCGTTTGATTTTTGATACTAAAAATTTGGAATTTCCAAGGTAAAGTGTGATTTTTTCTTTTCATTATTAGGAGAACATCACAATCCATAGAAGTGAAAAATGTTACATCTACTAATTATCTGGAAATAGAAATAGGAAAGAAAATGGAAATGTAACGGTGTCTAGGAAAATAATCTGAATCTATCATCATGAATTGTTTTGGTTCTTTCTTTTTTCTCGAAATATTAGACGATAAATTCGTATTTATTATTTCCGAGCGGACCAACGGTGGGTCTTCTTCAAAATATCTCTAGTAGAATGGGGTTTTCTTCATTCTTCGATTTGTCCAGTCGCTTTCATTAGATTCGTAATATGTTTCTTCACAAGCTGGACATGAGCATACATCAATGAATTGATGTCTAGTTTCGTCTCTGAAAGGATAGACGGTTTCGCCATCATGTTCAATGGAAGGTGGTTTAGGAATTTGTGGACCTTTTGGGATTTTGCTGTTTCGTTTGTCTGTTTGTATTGTAAATTGAGTGGACAATTACTTTCGAAATGATGATGACCTTGGTTTCTCGAATTTGATCTCCGTTGTTCCATCGTTTCGTGATCGGCAAGTGACATCCGATGATTGAATATTAGATTGTGTAGCTTGATGAAACTTTTTATAGTTTGTTACCCATGATTCCTGTAGCTGATGTAATAATTCTTCAGGAGTTATTTGTCGAGGAATCTATATTGAGTTAGGCGCTTGAAATGCTGATGTAACTTCAAGGTATAGTGCTTCATCAGAGGAGGGTAGAACGAGATCAAGAGCATGATCTTGAATTTGGTGGTTGATCTAGTGGTGCAGTGTTGCTATCACACTCTTCTCTTGCATCAGTGCTCCAATTTGTTGAAGCTAAACTTTGAGCGTCTTCAAGAGATTTGGGTCTTGTAGTGAAACATTAAAATTGGGAAACAGTGTTATAAATACTGTTCTAGCATTTAATGTTTTGAATAGTCCCGATACACGTTTGTTGGTATGACTTTAATCGTGAATCGATTAAAGCTGTACGAGCAATGAATGGTAGATCTTTTCTGGTGTGTAAGGTCAAACCAAGTCTCAAAACTCCAAAGTGGAGGTGAGTTTAGCCTTGTTGCTGCCACATTCTGAGTAGATTCGCCGGGATGTTTAAAGAGATGATTTTTTTTTTTAGTTGCTGGAACTTGGCATGAAGAGAACTTGCTGGATTAAACGTACTTCATGACCTTTCAGCTTGAAGAAGGTGATATGAATTCGCGAACTCCTTTAACAGAGAAGGTGCTGGATTTTTTGGAAAAGTATTCATAAGGATTTGTTAAAGGAAGAGTGATTTCTGTTAATTTATCTCCTAGAATATATTCAATTTCTTATAATGAATTAATATTAGAAGAGGAAGAGAAAGAACGACCTGTAGATTTAGAAAGAGTAGATATAGCAAATTGGAAATTGAATGCTTAAAGAGTTGAAGTAGACGTTGTAAAGAAATGTTTTTCAGAATTCTTAAAACAATCAATTATAAACAGAGATTCCATCAACCATTATGCAAGTATGAACAGTAGGTTTTGATACCATTTTACACAGCAATGAGCACTGTTCGTATTGACAAAATCATGTTGATAGACGAGGGTTTGTAATTTCCAGGTAAATGGAGTGATACGATCACTATTCTGGTTCAAAATTTGCTCAATCATTGTTAGGAAATTATCTCCTCACGAAAATCGTGTTGACAGAACCGCTAAAGTTAAGAAATAGCAGATGGTAGGATTGGAACTTGTGAAAGGAGAATAGAAATCTAAACTCACAAAAGATGAGTTAAGTTCTGGAAAACTTAAAAGAATTTAGAGAAATTTTAGAGAGATAAATTAGAGAAAAGTTTTTTTATGAAGTTATTCTAGAGAGATAAACTAGACATTGCTCTCAAAATCTAAATGTTCGATACTTATCGATCACGCCATCTCTACTTTGTCTTCTACCTAACCTTCTTAAGTCCATCGACACCTTCCTTTCCCGAAATCTTACTCCATATATTACAAAAAAAAAAATAGCGACGAACCAGTTCAAATCGGAGCCAATCATAGATTTGATGAAGCAGCATCTCTCCACCGACGCCGGGAAAGAGCTAACACGGAAGATCGGTCTCGTTTATCAAATCAACGTCGCTCCTCATTGTTAGACTCCATCGTCTTTCGTTTTATTTCTCACCCTTTTTTTTTATTTTTAATATCAGAAGTCATCAAAGGTAGCTCTATCTCTTTCAGTTGAAGGAGGGAAAGTGGACCCTAATGAAATCAATCTGAGGCTTCATCTTGCCAGAAGCAACTTTGACGCATTATGACAAATATGTTTAGCATTTTTGTCTTTGTGTCTGAACCAAAACCCACCATTAGCTATAAAAATAAACACAAACTTCCTCCACAGTGGGAACTTTGCTTTCTTACTTCTGAAGCCCACAGGCCTTTTGATTTGGTTCAACAAGTTGAATTCGAGTTGCTGTGACTGATGATTGATGAATGTTGAACCATCACAAGTGTCTTTACTGTTTTGCAGTGCCAACTAAAGTCCACCAAATCTCAAACTCAATCCTTCCTCCTAATTTTTCTTTGATTACCTGATTCTTACCCCCACTCTGGTTTCTTGGTTCTCTTACTTTTGTGTGTGTGGGTTCGATTTGGTCCAAGAAGTTAAATTTATGGTTCTTGTTAAAGTTGATGCAGGAGTGCAATGAAGATCAAGGGTAGTCTCAGTGCTGCGTCCCTGACATTTTCCCTAAGGCTTCAAAGCTTTGAACACACAAAAAGGAATGGTATTGCGAACTCCTTGAGCCAGGCTCAATCTATTTCTTTCAATTTGCTTTTCTAGTTGAGCGTTGATTTTTAAAAGCAATGTTCCCTAGAAATAAAGGTCTTTTTTTTTTTATATATCCTTAGTATATGCTGTTGTCTGAATATGATCGCTAAATTTGCAAGTGTCAGTGGCTTTATTTCCATCAAGTGAATTCAACAAAAACATACATGGAAAAGTTTGCCACACTCATCTCAAGAAGTCTGTATTGTTATTGTTGGTGTAATAGAAACAAAAAACAAAATCAAAATATTTTGAAGAATAGAAAAAAAAAAGATTTTCACTTGTGAGACTTCTTCCTTGATAAGAACATGAAAACCTTTGGCAGCAAAGAAAGCTTCTTCTTCTTCTTTTTCTTTGTTTCAGGGTTCAGATTATTGTTATCAATGTTGCTGCTTGTCCCTTGTTCACCAAACGCGAACGTGCTTGACCTCGTGGGGCTCTTCTCAGGCTCTTCTGTTCTTCTCTTCCCATTCTCAGACCTCCATTTTCTCAACTCTTGCTCCATACTCAACTTCCCATCTCTAGCCTTTTCAGCTGTTCCCATCGCCGCTTTAAGCTCTTCTTTTCGCACGCTCATCTCCCTATTCACTTCCTCTAGTTTCTCCAAGATTCTTGACTCTTCCTCTTTAGCCACTTCTATTTGGGAAACAATCTGTGATAGCCTTGTGTTTGCCTCTTCCTCTGCCTCGTGCGCCTGCTTGCTTAGCTCGTAGTATTCTTCTACAGAAATTATGATGCTTCTCGGGGAATTATTATTATTAATCTCTTCAAATCTCTGAGAAGATTCAGTCTCTTGCAGAGCTTTTATAGCAGCCAAGGCCAACTTCTCTGAAGCTCTAGCCGCCTCCATTTCTTTTTTCGCCTCGGTTAACCTCTTCTCTATAGTAGACATTCCTGTTTTAGCTTGTTCAGACAACTCCTCTGCCATTCTAAGCTCGTCTCTAGCAGCTGCGGCTAAGATCCTTGCCTCCTCTGCCTCTTTCATCGCCTGCTCCAACTTATTGGATGTATCCACCAACTCCTCCTGGACCAAACCTGCACTTTGTCTCTGATTAGTTTCAGCTAGATCCTGTCTCTCCCTTGCAAGTTCGGACTGTAAAGATGCAGCTATTATCTTCAATGCTTTCACCTCGGAGGCTGCTTTCTCAATATTGGATTTGACTTCTTCAAGCTCCCTCTTTGCTGAATCAACAGCTGCATGTATGTTGTTATCATTACTATTCAATATATTATTAGTGGTGGTGAAAGCTGCTAATTCAGCTCTCAAATCAAACTCAAGAGCAGAAGCAGCCTCTAGCTTAGTTTTCATATCATCAGCCGCACGGATCTCTTGGTTAAGCCTCTCGATATCATCTTCCACCATCTTCAGTTCCTTTTCCCAGTTGTACATGTCTTGGTCCCTACCCATAGCTGCACCGAACCTCTTCTCTTCCGCTTCGAGATGAGCAGTGTGTGCTGATTCCAACAACTCCTTGGTGGCTATGAGCTCTATACTCAAACCATCCATCTCTCTCTCAACATCTTTAGCTTCCATCACGGCAACTGCAGCTTTCTCCGCAGCTAAATCTTTTTCCCTCAGCATATCTTCATATTCATTACAAACCATTTCAATCTCTTCTCTAACGGACCGTAGCTCACAAGTCGCTGACTCCTGTCTAGCTTTAGCTACCTCGAGCTGTGCTTTCACGGCAACGCTTGCCTCGTTACCCACACCTTTCTCCATCTCCTCAACACGCATCTGCGCAAGCTCAGAGTCTTGTTTCGCTTGTTGCTCTTCCAATTGCGCTTTCTCTAGCTCGAGTTTTAGCTCCTCAATGAGTCCCTTTGTGTTCTCTAATTCTTTCAACGCATCTTGTTTGGTCTCTTCAGCTAACTCAGATTCTCTCTTATACTCAGGCAACGCTTCTTGTATCTTCTCAAGCTCTTCATCAACCATCTTCCTTCTCTAGACACATACATTAAAAAGACAATATCTAACGAAAAAGAACATCATGTGTAATAAAAATAATCATAAAAAGATAGATTTTGGAACCTCTATTGTCTGAATCTTATGAGCTTTCCAATCAGTAATCCCACCAAACTTTGAGACAGCTTCTTTAACAGATTCGAAAGGTGAAGCTGTGTCAATGAATCCAACGGGAGATCCAAAACGAGGAGATTCCACAGATCTCTGATAAACAAAAGCTCGAGGAGAAGCAGGGACTCTTAGACGAGGGGAGAAGGGGAGTATCCTCGCATCTTCGATTCTTGAATCTTCTGAGAAGGAGTCTTGATGGCTTATCATCACCCGTGGTGCCACGTAAACCGGACTTTCGGGTTGATTCGAGTCGTGGGAGAAATCTTGAAATGGGTTGTGAAAATCTCCATCTCCTCCATCTCCATCGACGTGCAAGTTCAAGAAGATGTCGTCATTGGTGGTTTTCCTCATCGGTGGTGGTTCTTCACCGATGGCGTTGAGGAATATATTAAGGTCGTCTGAATCTTTATCATCATCATCAGCCGACATTGTTAACAAGAAGAATCTTCAGAAAATGCAAACTGAAAAAATCACAAAAATCTGATTTTTTTGGTCAATTCATGTTCATCGCATTTTCTTGAGATCAAATAGTCATTAAAAAGAACATTGCGAGGATGAGTTTCGGACATGTGAGTTTGTAAATGTCGTACCTTTTTATCTGACAGAAGCGAGACAAAAGCTTTTGATTTTGGATGTTTTAATGTAAGAGAGTTACAACATTCGACTCGATTTGAAAGATTGAGAAAGAGAAAGGAAACCACAGAGAAACAGAAAAAAAAATAAGAAGGCGATGTGACCGAAGCATTGAAAAAATAGAACGGCGAATAACAGAGAGTGAAACACACGCGACTTTGTCTCTCTCCGTTTCCTGTGTTTTGTTTTTTTGTTTTGTTTTTCCTTTACTTGTTTTCGAGAAAAGAAATGTTTTACGAAATAGGGCTTATTTGCTTAATAGCCATATTTGGAATCAAAATTAAGTTTATGTCATTGATTTTAACGTAATATAATTTCTAACATTTGTGCCACAAAATTTCTGGTTCTATCCTTTTTCTTTGTAGATAGTAGGTAAATGAGAGAGAGAACAACGTGGTTGTAAAACATACGGTCAAAAACACCTAAAACTATTGCACGTAAAAAAAAAACTAACCACGTATACGCTTACTAACCACATATATATATATGCAACTCGACGTTCTATTCCATACCATTGAAATAGTATAGGATTATAACCTCACATAATTACCACAAACATATTCATTATACGTATCATTTCTTCTAAATACTAAACCCTAAACTGTTGTCACTCAACCCATACATTCCAAATACTAAACTCTAAATTCTACACTAAACCTTAACCCAAGTATATACTCTAAACTCAAATAGAATAGAACAAAATACATAGAATAATACATATTGGTGAGTAAAATATAACACTCTTTATTAATCATCAAATGGAACGATACATGATATAGTTACTAAATCCAAACCTCAACCCCCACCTTCCAAATACTAAATCCTAAATCCTAATTAATAAACCCAAATATAAACTATAAACCCAAATAGAATAGAATAAAATATATAGTATGGTAAATATTGGTGAAGAAAATAATATGTTCTTTATTAATCATCAAATGGAACGATACATAATAGAGTTACTAAACCCAAATCTCAACCCCCACCTTCCAAATACTAAATCCTAAATCCTAATTACTAAACCCAAGAATAAACCATAAACCCAAATAGAATAGAATAAAATATATAGTATAGTACATATTGGTGAACAAAATAATATGTTCTTTATTAATCATCAAATGAAACTATACATCATAAAAAAGTTTAGGAACAAACTATTTTGCATTACATAACATGAATAGAATTCATATTACATATTATTTTCCATTTCTATTCCATACACATATAATAGAATAGAACATAATGTTACAAACCTCATGGCGGTGCCGTTTACGTTTTCGGTGAACCCATAGATTTCAAATATGCGATGCTTCCCGTCAATAACCAAGCGAACTGTTACAGATAAGTATCTCTTAGGCAGAGCTACTCCGGAAAAGATCTTGGATGATACAATGGATAATAATGGGAAAGAAACCACTCACGTTATATAAGTTAGTGATTTTACAAAGGCCACGTTATACATGTGTTAGGTAAGTATATATTATTAATTTAGTTTTTTTTTACAGGTTTTACCAGTTGTGCAAGAGGGCAGATTAGTATTATTATATAAAATATGCATAGTGTATTAATGTATTAGGATAACTGGCTATTTTCCCAATTAGATGTTTTTGTGTGTCTATACAATCCAATTTCCCTTACGAAATATGTCGTCAACTAAAGAACTAGTCCAAGGCTTTGATTAAAAAAAAAAGCTACAGTCCAAGGCATTCCTTTTTCTTTTTAATTTTTTTTCTTTTGTGTAAGCATTTTTCTATCCCTTATATATTACTTTTCTATTTTCTGCAATTTTTTTATTTACTTGAATTATTTTAAAAGACTTTCACATTAAAAATACCTTTTTTACAATAAAAATACAAATTAATAAAAAGCATAAAATAACGTCCAAATGAAATCTTTTAAATGGTTCATAAAAAGAAATATGATGAGTCGAACCACAAAAAAATTTCCACCGAATCGAAGAAACCCTAGCCACCACATAAGAAGAAACCGTCATCACTCATCACCCAATACTGTCGTCGAGAATGGAGACCATCATCTCCACCGTGAAACGACAAAAATCCGAAGTGAAGACGAACTGAAACAAAAATCTTATAACACACCGCAACTTGAGCAAGCGAAACCCACCAACAACAAATGAGGACTACGACCAGTGAAGCTCATTGAAAGGAGTAGAAATACAGTGAAGTGGAGTCGTGTGATCTGGTTTGCTCAAGGTGTACCCCTATTAAGTGTTTCATATCGGCTAAAATGTGTATTCTTGAGCAATATATATGTGTATGGGAAATTTTTCATTTATGAGTTAGTTTTTGGGTGTGAGTTAGGTTCATCACGGTTAAGATGTGTATCCTTGGGTAATCTATATGTGTATGAATAATCTTCCACTCTTTAGCTAGTTTTTGGGTGTGAGTTAGGTCCATCACAGTTAAGATATGTATCATTGGGCAATATATATGTGTATGGACAATCTTTCACTCTCGAGTTAGCTTTTGGGTGTGAGTTAAACCCATCACTAATATGGTATCAGAGCTCATGGTGAGCCCAACATATGATTTTCCATATAAACAGTTTCTTACCTATGTAACTTGTACAAGTGATCCATATGGCTGTGGTATTTCCTAGATGTTAGGATGTTTCCAGTGGACAGTTTCCCACCTACATTTCGAGAGGGACTATTAAGTGTCCAATATCGGTTAAGATGTATATCTTTGGGCAATATATATGTGTATGGATAATCTTCTACTCTTGAATTAGCTTTGGGTGTGAGTTAAGCTCATCACTAATATGGTATCAGAGTCCATGGTTTAGCCTAATATTTGATTTCCTACATAAACAATTTCCTCCTTATGTAGTTTGTAAAAAATGGTTCATATTATTGTGGTATTTCCGAGATGTTGGGTTTGAGATGTCTTCTTATAGATCGTTTCTCATCCACATCTCGAGAGGAAGCTATTAAGTGTCCCAGATCGATTAAGATATGTTATCTTGGACAATATATATATATATGTATATATATATACATGTATGGACAATTCTCCACTCTTGAAATAGTTTTTGAGTATAAGTTAGTCTCATCATTAATACCTTTTTTCTCTTTTATTACATGGATTGCCATAAAGAATAGACTACTGCGAAGTGAGAGAATGAGACAATGAGATGTAGTGCGTGGATGTGAGCTTTGTAGTGAAATTGATGAAATAAGAATTTTTTTTTCGCTTGCCCTTACTCTTGCAGAGTATAGAAAGCATTCCCAAAGCATCTTATCTGAAGACAAATCAATTTAGATTAGAGGCAGACTTTGACTTACCTCCAGAGGCGAGGCAACAAAGGGTTTGATACCATTTTAGCTAAACTACTGTTCTAAATATTAATCTACTATATATGGAGAGAGCAGAATGGTAGGCATTATCAGCAAGCATGGACATCTACAGATCAAATGCATTGGACCATTGACAAAGCGATGACGAGTAGAATCTTGTCTCTGTATTATTTCCCTAACCTATAGTATCACCACACCCATAAGTATACTGGTCTTTTACAATGGTGTGGCCAACTCACACTTTAGATTATGTTCTCTCTTTTTGTTTCTTTTAATATAGTTCACAATTATTGAGATGTAAATAACATTCCTTTTTTTGGATATCAATTAATTTAATTTTTATCAAACAAAAAAAAATCTGTGTTTTTTTAAGGTATTTGTAAGTCAATTTGTTTTGTCCAAATAATCATATATCCGATTCCAAACATGATTTTTATTCAATAATATATTGAAGTTTATTTTTATAATCATATTATTTTATTACTAAAAATCTTTTTAAACTTTAATAAAATATTTTTTGAAATTATAAATCTTTAATGGTAACATAATTTGTTTTTTATATTTAGAAATTTTAGAAATTCTATTTAGTTTAATTTTTGGATAATTATAAATTTTTATATAAGTTTTGAAAAAATGATACAAAGTTGATTTAATATGTTTTAACCAAAATAAATAAATGAAAATCTCTCTAAGCTTTTATATATATATTTAAAATATAATTTAAAAATATCAAAATGTTTATTTCATCTTGGTTTAATTTTTGACTAAATTAAAATTAAGATTAAAATATTATAATGAAATTAATAAAAATTTATTCTCATAGATAATTTAAAATTTAAAATTTTATTGGTGTATATGAGAAAACAGTTCAGTAATTAAATAGACCAAAATAATAAGCGAAACAGAAAAAAATCGGAAAAGTTGGGATCACTACGAAACGAAACCCCACCGAAGCAAAAGAAAATTAAAAATGTCCGGCGGCAATAATTAATGATGCCTTTGATCTCTGCCTGTCTCATTTGGATCATTCTTACAGAATATACCCTTTCTCTCCTCTCAAATTCGTTTCTCTGTTTTTCAAGATTTGATTTGATTTTTCCCTTCTCCATTATGATTGATCGATCCGTATAAGCAATCAAGTTCCGTGAACTTGGTTTCACGATCATTCGATTTGACTTTCTTTTCTTTTCATTCATACAAAAAAAAGAAAAGAAAAGAAAATGAACGCCGTGGGTAGGATCGGGAGCTACATCTACCGAGGCGTAGGCACGGTATCAGGTCCGTTCCACCCATTCGGTGGCGCCATCGACATAATCGTCGTCCAACAACCCGACGGCACATTCAAATCGTCTCCCTGGTACGTCAGATTCGGCAAGTTTCAAGGGGTATTAAAGAACAGACGCAATCTGATCAAGATCGAGGTGAATGGTGTAGATTCAGGCTTCACTATGTATCTGGCTCATACAGGGCAAGCTTATTTTCTAAGAGAAGTTGAAGATGTGAGTCGTGCTGGTGATGTCTACACTTTGTCCTCTGGCGATGAGGAAGCAAAGAGTAGTAGTTGTGATAGGGTTAAGATACCGTTGAAGTCTAAGAGCTGTAACTATGATTCAGTTAGTCCTCGTGTTGTTGGGAAGCGTGGGATTCTTGGGTTTGTCTTTGGTGGTAGATCTGTTAAGGTGGATGATGATGGTGTTACTTCCATGGAGAGAGCTGAGTTTGCTGCTGATCTTTTGGATGTTAAGTGGTCTACTAATATCGATACGCGGAAATGCGTTAAAGGTAAAGAAGCGTCCAAGTCTTTTGATGGCGATGAGAGGAAGGGGAGGTTGTTAGTAGATAGTGATTCTATATTGGAAACTCCGCTTGTTGCGTCTCCTACGTTGCAGTATCTTGATGAGAAAGAGCAGGATTTTCGTGAGAGCAGCAATGTGGAAGATTATTCTATTCTTGTTGGGAATGGTTCGTGTGTTTCTAGTGGAAAGGTAGATCTCTGTGTTGAACAGGTTAGTCATTAGAATGAATCTCTTTAATGTTTTTTTTGCAATGTAGTAGCTTTAGAAGTAAACTATCTAACGTATGGGACTGATGTCTTGTGTAAATTGTATCTCCACTAGGATGGTGTTACAGGAGGCGATTTGGATTCTAAGCAAGAAATGTTGGGTGTTCCTGAATCTGTTGAAAATGTATACCAAGCGGATACACGGAGGAGCATTGGCACTTCTCAAGAAGGGAGCAGCACAGGCTCTCTATCTCTAGCTCAAGATGTAAACGACATGACCTTGGAAGATGGTTTTGAAAAGACTCTGTCGGCAAATGGAGCAAGGGAGGTTGAGGAGGAACAATTTTCCTTCAGCGATATTGGCCATTACAAATCTGCTGAGAGTAGCTTTGGAGAGTCAAGTCTTCCTCATACAGTGAAAGCTGATGGGAAAGAGATATATGATGAAAATGAAATTAGTCATGAAAATGGCTTGGAGGACTCAAAGCTCTTGTCAGAGCCGATTGAGATAGAGAGAAGAAAGGATATCTCTGGAGAAGAGATGGAGCGGTTGGCAGAATCGTTACCGATTATGCGGCTTCAGAACAACAGTGATATCGATGCCAGTTCTTTTCAGCCCATGAGCCAGTCATTTGACCCAAGTTCCAATACTTTGAATGCTGTAAACGTTTCTGGGGGTAGCACAAACGTTAAGGCATTCAAACATGTTATCACTAATCCTGAAGTTGGTAAGGAAATATAACTTTATTACCTTAATATGTTTTTCACACTCCCCAGTCTTTAACATTGCTATATCTATCCCCAGTCGAGCTCTCTCTCTGCAAACACTTATTACGTGAAGGAATGGGAGCAGAAGCGGCTTCTCAGGCGTTCAATTCAGAAAAACTGGATATGGAAAAATTTGCATCTCTGGGACCATCAGTCTTGGAGAATGAAATGCTTATAGTGAAGATTGGTGGATGCTATTTTCCATGGGATGCAGCAGCTCCTATTATATTAGGAGCGGTATCATTCGGGACTGCACAAGTGTTTGAGCCCAAGGGCATGATAGCTGTTGATAGAAATGAGAAACCTGATGCTGTATTGGCTCCGAGCGGTGGAAGCTGGAACCTTTGGCCTTTCTCTCAAAGACGATCTGGCGAAGCTTCTTCTGAACTTGAGGAGAAACAAGAGAAGTCGTCGCCAAGACCAGTGAGGAAGACAGTCAGGGCATTAACTCCAACTTCTGAACAATTGGCTTCGCTAGATCTGAAAGAAGGAATGAATACAGTGAAGTTCACCTTCTCCACCAATATTGTGGGTACACAACAGGTCATTTTATCCCTACGACATTGTTTGTCATATAACCGTCAAAGAGTTCTCGTTTGGTTTACACAACTCATTAATTCAACAGGTAGACGCGAGGATCTACTTATGGAAATGGGATGCTCGGATAGTTGTTTCAGATGTAGATGGTACCATCACAAGGTAGAGCAACTTCGGTTTTTCTATTGTGTTTTGCATATTTTTAGCCAAATCCTGCAACTTGTTTCTGATTTTCATTATGCTCTGTCACAGATCTGATGTCTTAGGCCAGTTCATGCCTTTGGTTGGAGTAGATTGGTCACAAACTGGTGTTACACATTTATTTTCGGCTGTTAAGGTCTGTTAATATGTGCTTTTATCTTTAGAAATGAAAGCAGTGTGTGACTCAATTTCTCTACCTTTAACATTTCCACAGGAGAACGGATATCAGCTGATGTTTTTAAGTGCACGCGCGATTTCTCAGGCCTCAGTCACAAGACAGTTTCTAGTTAATCTCAAGCAGGTGATTAGACAATGTATTCCAAATCTGTACAAAATTGAAAACTATAGCCTACTTTGTTAAATCTTATTAGCTAGTTGACAACAGGACGGGAAAGCATTGCCGGATGGGCCTGTTGTTATTTCTCCCGATGGCCTCTTTCCTTCGCTGTTTCGGGAAGGTAGTAAATCTTGTTTCTTCTCTGCAACATATCCAAAAATATGATTTGTTGATGTTGAATGATTTGCTTCTTTCTCGACAGTAATTAGAAGAGCACCTCATGAGTTCAAGATTTCTTGCTTGGAGGTTAGTTTTATGCTGTTCCTGAAACTCTTAATGCCCCTTCTAAAACATGTTTACAGACCTCTGCTTCATTTTAAAAAAATTAATTCTTTCACAGGAAATAAGAGCGTTGTTTCCTCCTGAACACAACCCGTTCTATGCTGGTTTTGGAAACAGAGACACGGATGAGATAAGCTACCTTAAAGTCGGAATCCCCCGGGGAAAGATCTTCACTATTAACCCAAAGGTACTCAAATCTTCAAATGGGAAATGCATTGCAACATTTTTCTGAAAGGATGGAAAACTTGTTACTTGTGAGATTTGCAGGGAGAAGTAGCTGTGAATCGTAGGGTGGATACTAGGTCTTACACAAATCTTCATGCTCTTGTCAATGGAATGTTCCCAGCTACAACAACCTCTTCAGAACCGGTATATAATAAAACGTTTCTAAGTTTTGTTTGTTTTTTATTTCGATGTTTTGTTTGCTTATTTTTTATGAACTTTTACATACAGGAGGACTTTAACACATGGAATTTCTGGAAACTGCCTCCTCCACCGGTTATGTGATTATTATGATGATGATGTTGGTTTAAGAAAGCGTGTAGATTAGGTGATAGAATAACAAATGGTGGCTTCCATCTTGATTTTATCTTTTAAAGGACAGTAGTTTTGGTTCTTTGTTTTTTGTCACACTGGATTCATATCACAGGTGTACGATGTATGCGCAGTTATACGTGTATATAAATATATTTAATTTATTGGACAGTCCATATGTTAAAGAACAATCAATATACATTAACGCACTAGGAATAATAACACAAATATATACTTATATATGTACCAACTATATTATTATAGCTACTAGTTGTGCGGGGTCGAGATCATTGATGTTTGCCTGTGTTTTTTTTAGTTGTTGGTTTAATGGATTCTTCTAATAATACCAAATAATGATGAAATACAAAGAATGTAGCAAGAGTATAAAGTGAAAATATTGTATATATAACTAGGGGAAACCCGCGCTTCGCGCTGGCATGAACATAATTTTTATTTTGTGGTTGCTAAGAAAGTTGTTGATTATGTGTGTCGGCGTCTATAGGATATGGTACATAGTTTTTATTATTTTCAGTGGTGGGCTAAATGTAGGTGATATGTGAGAATGTGGACTGATATTAATATGTGTTTAAGAGATGATGTAGGTTTTGTTTTCTACTTTGCCATTGGCCGAACATGCTATACAATAACAATTGAAAGTGGCAGAGAAAGAGAGAATGAGATAATTTTAGTAATTATGATAATAGAAATAGAGATATGAAAATAAGTTACATAATTTGCATCAAGAGAATCCAAGTAGACTGAGGCTGGAGCAAAATGTATCTTTACTCGGTGATACCCAATTGCTGACAAAAAATATGTGAAGTTGAGATGAACGAATTCTGTCTCACTGAAATAGAGACACCAAAGTTTTAAATTTTTCGTGTCTTACACCATGGAAGGTATTAGCACAATAATAATACATGATACCAAAGAAAACAAAATAATAGCTTTAACTGGTGTTAGTGTCACAGTTATTCTGTTGAAGAAAACAAAATTAAAATTATATTGGGTTTTAAAATGATGTGATACAAAATAGCTATAGAGGATTGTGTTCTTTTGTCAACAAAGCATAGTTTTTAATATTTTATTACCCACATATCTAGAAAGCACGTGACATGAATAAGTAGAAAGGAGTTACCATATATGGAAGAAGAAGCGAACATGGTTCATATAAAACTCGATCGAGAAAACAAACATGGTAGAGAAATCACAAAATTTGATGAAAAAAAAAACAGAACGTCAAAGATGGTTCAGATAACCAGCCTGCATAACTAATTCATATGACCATGGAACTTACTTTGGCATCACTCCCAGTATCAAGCAAAAATGAGTCCAGGCATAGTGTTGACAAATAACCGGCCTGCATAACATAATGATCTGGTCTCCTATAGATGCAATCTAAGCAAGATTTGTACTGTATTCTTCTGTCACCTGTCATGCACAAACTTTCGGATTTGTACTCAAAAAATTGTATGATTACTAATTAATTTATTATTCCCATAATTATTATATATTCCTCCATTTATGAATCTAATAATAAAACTAATGAAATTTCAGATTCGTATAATAATCTCAGCTCAACTTAAAATTTCTAATCGAAAATGCATTTCTCAAGCTCCCAAAAACGAAGATTTCAACTTCTTATCATCATCATCATTTTGCCAGCTGAATGTAGAGACAAATTTAGCGTTCGTTAACCGAAATCGCTTAACAGAGTGTAAACCGCAAATTCTTTCCCTCATGTAATTATATAAATAGCATACATTTAGGAATAGTTTGGTGCAGAAACCTACTCATCAGTAGTACAAATTCAAGATGGAATTATCTATCAGTTAAAATCTCTGGAAATACATCACTGAGAATCGAAAACTCTGAGTTTACCTGGTTGAGAGTCAAATTAGGAAGGTAGGTGTTAGTTTATGTAGAGCTAGGAGTTGGTCGTGATTATGGAACCAGAGGATCTCCTTATTAATTGGATTAATTGAGTTGGTTATCTCAATGACGGCGTTTGATCATTGAAACTTATGGACGATGTAGAGTCAGAGAGCTTTAAGCTATGGTTCCTCCGGTAACTTCAAACCCACTCACCGAATACATTGAACCTGCCATGTAGAGATGTTCTGATTGTGTGCTGTGACGGACCCTTAGATTTACTTTCCCTGTTTGAAAGAAAAACGAAACAATAAGTTATCGATGTTGTAGGAAAACCAACTCAGAAAGAAACTAATTATATATACATTAGTAAAAAATAAAATAAAATAAACTAATATGTTCGCCGGAATCACCTACTTGTCGATGAACAATTGTTTTTTTCTGAGGACTGGCTTGATGAACAGTGTGTTAACCCCATGAGCTCTGGGCCTACCGGATTTCAAGTCAGATGTGTGATACAAAAGAATTATAGTGAATGAAAGTGAAAAAGTAATGAATTTCACCAAAGCTTACACCCTTATTTATAGGTTAAGATTCGTAACATTTGAAGATGAGAAAACTGTTATTGAATGCAAATTAATGAAGGTGGTGACTTGATGGAGTGAATAAGGAAGTAATTGGCACAATGAATGTAAGCATAAACCGTTATACTTTCGCTGGTTAGAGATGGTGTTGTGAACTTCAATCGTAACGGCGACCCAGTCGTCTTCACGCAAACATGGGATGAAGATAACCTAATTACAGAAGAAGAAGAAGACAATGAGGATATGGCAATGGGACTAAAAGCTTTGGTTTTCTATTATTAGCCCAAAAACCTCCTATCCCAAGCCTAAAAAATGGAAACCCAAGTAATTTAATTGCAAAGGCCAAAACGTGATAGAAAAATCCAATCGAAAGCAAACAAACTTCAAAGAGAAATACACGTGTCAGGTTCTCTTTAACTTATTTGATGACATGGCATATTAAGGAGGGAGTGAACAATACTTTATATATAGATATGTTAAATGTTATTCATATGCGAAATAAGGTTTATAGGAATAATTAAACTATAATATAGTTTATAGTGAGTAGGTGTCTATCTTGTTTTTTATTCTTTTATCCTGTAAATAGTTTTTATATCAGAGGTCAAAACTTGATATAATTATTTATTTCTAGTATTTATATTTGTACTAAACGATTTATAAATTTGAAAATGACTTTAATTTAAGCTAATATGTGTTGTTTGGGTTTCATTAGATAGCTTTTTTTGTAAGTTTGGATTTTGTTCATGAATAATGTGGCATTTTTATTTACAGCGTCATCGACTGTGTGAATCCATTCGCCGGAGTCTGATAAAAAATGAAATTACAGTAATTATTAAAAATGTAAGAGAAATTACATATTTATTTTATAAATAATGAAAATACTTAAATTTTGTTTATTTTATTTTATTTTACATACATAATTTTTGAAAATATATATTAGGAAATATGTTCTAATAGAAAATATATATTAGGACATGATAGGAGCCGCGTGGGACTCTTTTTTTTTTTTTTTTTTTTTTTGGACTGTTCGTTTTTGATCCATTTTTAATTGTTTTTATATTTGAATTCGTTAAACTTTAAGATTTTCTCACTATTCTGGCTTTAAACAATAAGCTCAGAGAAAAAAAAACATAAAACATTAAAACCAAAAAACCCATATGATAATAACCCAAACGAAAGAAAAGACTAAAATAATTGTTTTGGATTTGAATTCATTAAACTTTAGGATTTTCTCACTATTCTGGCTTTAAACAATAAGCTTAGAGGAAAAAAACATTAAAACATTAAAACCAAAAAACCCATATGATAATAATCCAAACGAAAAAAAAACTAAAATACTTAACAGCTATGTGGTTTGAACCCCTCACGATTGCAAACTTAACTAGATATCTTAAACCACTCGGCTAATGTGTATTCATTGTTCATAATCATTTTTAAAAAACTATAGACTTTTAAAAATTAAACGCACAGAACCCACAAAATGCTGACATGGACATCTTGAAAAGCCTTGAAAGTGTATTATTATATATAAGATTTACCAAAAATATACCAAGAAAATCTCCTATTAATTGAGGATCACTTTTAAATTAGGGCTTTTTGCAAATTTGACTCAAAACTCCAAGTCAAACACAAAACTAACCTCTTCTTTTGACTCATCTTGTTTTTGTCCTATTCACCCCACATCTTCATTTTATTTACGAAAATGCCATTTATATGTTTTTTGAATTTTTTTTCGAAAATGACATTTTTACTCTCTCAACCTCATCATCTTCAAGTATTTACAACATTGCCATTGCCATGAATACTCCCAACAACCTTGTACAACCCAACAACCTTGTACAACCAAGGTTTGAAGCTTTTAATGCACTTAAAATCGATATCCATACTCTCTTTCTCAATTGTTATGAACTAA